CATGGTAGGCGGCCCTCCCACAGGCGCCAGGACAGCTCTGAGGCTGACCGTAAATGGTCAAAAAGTGGGCAGTGCCCAGTTCCTGGGAATCTCAGCCCCTTCCCCGAAGGAGGTGGAATAATCCGCCCACTTGTTAGCACAGGAAGTTCGGAGCCCATGAAAACTAACAGCCCACCTCGTGACCGCTTTCCTTGCTGAGCGAGGCGGACCTCACCACGGAGTATGTACACCTTACTTTAAACGGAGCACCCGATCCCCACACTTCATGGCCTTTCTCTAGTCTTCTGAGATGGCCTGCACTCTGTCTATGGAGTGTGCATCTCTCTAGAATAAATCTACCTTTACTCAACTGTGGCTCGCTCTTGAATTCCTTCCTGCACGAAGCCAAGGACCCTCATGGCACGGCCGGCGCCAGAGGCTCATCCGAGATCTGGGACACGGCCATCCTCTCGCCCCACATTTTCGTGTATCCATCCAGCACCTTGGTGTAAACAGAAGGAGTCTGAGAAAATAGCAGAAAAGGAAGGCCACTCTGATCTGCCCCCACCACCAGGCCCTTCTCCCCTGAAGCAAATCATAAATCTCTCCTGTAAGCGATGCCCTCTCTAGACTCAAACGGAAGGAACAGCCTCCTCTGCAAGCACAAGGGATGCCAAGGATCCAAACCAGCAGCTTCGCCAAGCTGCCCCAGTTTACTGCACATGCCGCATCCTCTTTCCTGCTGCGTCTTCGCTCCTCTTCAAGCCTGGCGTAAAAACACACGAGTTGAATCATTTCTTCGGGACTTCATTTCCATACGAAGGCTCCTGAGTCACATAAAACTTGTAGTGAACAAATCTGTACGCTTTCCTCCTGTGCATCTGGCTTTGTCAGTGTAATTTTCGGACCCAGCCAGAAACGCCACGAAGGTGGAGGGAAGATCTTCCTGCCCTCAGCAGCACCTGGGAGAGAGGCACCAGGAGGTTTCTCCCTCAGAGTCTCCAACAAGGAGTCGGCCCCACTGACACTCCTCCTGACACCTTGAGTTCAGATTTCTGGTCCCCTGAAGTGCAAGAAAATGAATTCTGTTGTTTTAAACCACCCAGTTGCTGGCCTTTTGTTATGGCGGCCCAGGAAATGAACACCCTCCACAAGGTAGGTTTCACTGAGTAATTTGCCCAAAGTTACATAGTTTCTCCTGCCAGCAAAGCGGATGTCGTGACTGGAGCTCCCACACCAGTGGGGGGACCTTGGGAAGGGAAGCCATGTCCAAAGGGGCATAAATCGAGTAGGTGGAAGGAGCCTCGGCCCCTGATGGCTGCAAGTCGCCGATCAGCCCTGACCTCGTTGTCACAGGAGAACAACAAATACAACCGTGCCTTGTTTTATCCCTGCCATCAGGGTAAAACTGCGTCCAAACTGCCACTGCCACCTAGTGCCAAATTAGGACTGGAATCTGAACGCACATGAAGTTAAACTCTCACATGCATTCTAGCAGCCCAGTTGCTTTCCTGCCTGAGGATGCAGGAGGCCTGGGAACAAGCTCTGGTTTTGCCACTACTGCATACGAATGATACAGACTGAATGCAATCCACATGAGTCACACGCTATTCTAGGCCCTGCGATACCACAGGACAGACCAGAGCCCCTGGGAGTTTATATTCTAATGAGGGGTGACACATAACTTTTAAAAAATATGCCAATATCAGGTGTGGTTGTGATAAATGCTGTGGAACAAAATACCACTGTCAAGGTGGGCAGGGCGTGCTAGGAAGGGGGTTTCAGTTTTCATTGGGGTGGTCAGAGGACCCACCCCACCCGACCCCACACCAGGAAGGTGACATCTGAACCAACAACCTGGAAGAGACAGAAGATCGAGACACAGGAAAAAGAAATAGCAAGGCACAGGGTCGTAATCCACCTCCACCTTCCAATCTGTAAAATGAGATGATGGACAAAATGATCTCCAAGTCTCTTAGAAAGATAATGAGGACATGGGATCATGTGAAATCAAGGGACCACCAGGAACCTTGCTTGGAAATACTTCCCACCTGTCAGGAGGTCCCAATGCAAATCTTCCAGGCTAGAATTTCTCTTCGTCCCATGGGAAGTTTATAGGTGTAAAAGAGAAGGGAGTGGAGAGATTGCTCCGAGATCAAATAAGCTTTGGAAACGGACTTAAAATAGTTCAGCAGAATTTCTTTCCTTCAGGACATCTCAGATCCTTTCCTACGGCAACGTAGGCATGATTACCTGAAAGCGAGTGGTAGGATGCAGACTCTTACGAACTTATTTGACCGTCGAAGTCTTTTTTATGCAGAGCACCTGGTGAGACTATTTCTTAGAACGCACTTAGGGAACCACCCTAGTGGCTGGTAAACTTTTTCTGCAAAGGAGCAAAGAGAAAATATTTTAGGCTCTGTTGCCCAACTGGCCTGTTGCAGCTACCTGTGCCATTTTGGCTTGAAAGTGGCCATAGACAGCACGTAAATGGATGGGTGTGGCTGTGTCTTAATAAAACTTTGTTTATGGATGCGGGAATTTCGATTTCATGCAATTTTTGCCTGTCATGAAATGTTATTCTTCTTTTGACTTTGAAAAAAACTATTTAAAAATGTAAAGAGCATTCTACACTCATGCAAAAACAGGCAGGGGACTGAATTTGACCTACAGGCCGTATGTTGCCAACCCTGGCTTTAGAAAGATGCGCTATTATCCTATTTCTTCCTTACCTGATACATTATTTTACTATTTTTTTTTCTTTTTTTTAAACGGAGGTACTGGGAATTGAACCCAGGACGTCCTGCATGCCAATCAGGTACTCTACCTCTGAGCTACCCCCCCCCAGTACATTCTTTGAAATGCATGCTGATGCTACACTGCTTAAAGTCACAGTGCTGGTGTCTTGACCAAACAAACAAGCAAATGAAAAGGTGGTTGTAAATCATATTCAGAAAATATCTTTGAAGCAGATGAAAGATTGTTCAGAAAAAAAAAACCACATTGTTAGACTTAGCCCCTTATAATTACCTCTTGATAGAAGAATGGAGCTTAACTCTGCACTTAACAGTTCTGATTGTACTTTGATAACTGAACCACTGGGGAGGAAAAGGCATATATTTTTAGTACTGGTTTTTATTTGCCTTTATAAAATTTCTAAAAATCGAATTATCATTCTTTCTCTAGAAGGCTCGATAAATGCTTGTTGAATGAACGTATTAACCCTTCTGCTGAAAGGGAAACACTGCATTTGGCATCGTCTTAGGCAAAATTGTAATGAAAGTGATCTTGCACACACACTCAGTTGCCTTTTTTTCTCTCTACGTGGTATCTATTCACCATTATTATTGTTTGTAAACCAACCTTTTCCCTTTCTTTCTCTTGCCAAGATCTCAATACCTTCGTGCTCCTTTCGCTTCCACTTTCTAACTAAAGCGTATATTCAGGGTAAATAAGAGCCTCGCTCTTACTATAATGTAAAAGACTTGTAGCAGCAAACAGTTTTAACTATTCTGTAGGATGGATTTGCATTTTAACAGAAGAATGAAGATTTACCTCAGGGAGCCAGCAGGTGGCAAAAGCCTTTCTTCCAGGAACCTCAGGTAAACTCCCACTTCTGAAATCACATCCCAGAGGAAGTCACTGCCTTCACCCAGAAGGAAAGAAAGGCTTGTCACAAAAAGACTCATGGCAACAGCTTGCCTGTAGTGGAATCCTGCGTGATCCCAGGCAGAGACTCTGCCCAAGGCTAACCTCTACCCAGCTCCAGGGCAGGCTGGGGCAAATCCTCCAGGAAGAGTCACAAAAAAGGATAGCGACCTTGCTTTGGACTGCGTTTTGTAAACACCTGTAGGCAAAGAAAAGAATTTTCTCTCTATCCTTGGTCTTGGCCGAGACCTTCCGTAACAAAACACAGATCAACAAGAGGAAAAATAATGCAGGACTTTATCAACATGTACACCTTATATACACATGGAGACCCAGGGAAACTGAGTAACTCCCCAAGGTGGGCTGAGTCACCAGCCCAAATAGCATCTTCAGCTAAAGACAAAAGAAGAAAGGTGTGGGGGCAAGGTACAGCTCAGTGGTAGAGGGCCGCTTAGCATGCACGAGGTCCTGGGTTCAATCCCCAGGACCTCCATTAAAAAATAAATAAATAAGTAAACCTAATTACCTCCCCCCTCAAAAAAAATAAAAGGTGTAGCCAGTATTTTATAATAACCATAAATGGCGTATAACCTTTAAGAATTGTGACTCACTACGGTGTATACTTGTAACTTACATAATGTTGTATTTGCTATACTTCAATTAAAAGATAATAATTTTTAAAAGATAACGTGATATTGGAGAAGACATAAAAAAGGAAGGTGTAGGGGAGGGGAGTTCAGTTACGGGGAGGCTACCAGGAAAAGGATAGAGTTTGTTTTATAGACTTAAGTTGATGCCATTTCCCTGATAAGGTACCCTTGTGCTTAGTCATCCTTCTTTTCCTGGTGCAAAGAGAGTGATCGCTGACAAATGGAAATTTCCTTTACAAATGTAAATGTCCTCTACCAAAGGGGAATTTCTACCATTTTCAGAGCTTCTCTTGTACCTGCTGTTTCTCAAATAATCAGCTCAAAATAATCCGAATGCCAAACACGCATATTTTGGGCTGGTATATTCTGCTCCCCTTCACACCAACACACTGAGGCTGTTTTAGAAAAAACAGTGTTTTACTGGAGTGTTTACAGGAAAGATTTCAAACCCAAGGACCTCTACCCGCTGAGATTTTTAAGCCCCATCACCTGAAGGGAAAGGTCTGAGATGCTTGGTTAGCAACTGACAATGCAGGCGGAGTGTCAACTCTGACAGCACCAATATTTACTTTGCCTTTTCACAAGGCACATAAAATATGCAAATGAGTATTTAACCTACCAAGACGGGATGGCTCTGTGCGCAGTCACTGACTTTGGATCATTGCTTGAATTGAGCAACATCATAATTTAGAGCCCAGACAGGCTTTCAGACTTGCAGGGGAATATAAAAATCGTGTCCAAGGACAGCATAACCCAGTTGCAGATATAATGGAGGACATGCATTCCGCCGCCTTTGTCTTTTCCATTATGCTCATCTGCTCTCTCCACTACAGGATGTGATTTCTAAAACTCTCTGCTTTCTGTGTTGATGGCTTGCAGGGAACTGAGTGAGAGTAAGAGCTGAAAAAGCAGCAAGACCTTTGTGTTCTCACATTACATTATACTTTCCAAGCGTTTGAAGTTAGTGTAACCCTTCTCTAAGTACTTGGCAAACTTTAAACCATACATCTGTGAAGCTGGGGATATTCCCCCCCCCTTCACATTACCTTTCACCTACTTTAAAATAAACCACTCATTGTTCAAGAGGGAAAACGCAAATTTGTTTTTCCAAAGTAATCTATAACGGAGTAAAACATTGCTGGAAGGTTTGCAATTAACTAATTTACTGTGCAATAAATCTCAAAGGGAACGTAAGTTAATGAGGGAGTCATTTTTCAACCTTCAATATTTAGGCCTCTGTTTGCTTTCTTTTTTAATTAACAAAACGTAAACTCTTTTTTTAAATTAGAAAAGCATCTGAACCTGATTTTCTAAATGTTTAAACTATACAAAAACACAGACAATTAAAAGGAAGAAGCAATACCCACTTTCTTGGGTACCTTGATTTGTTTCAGTAGTAAAACAGTGGAAGCCGGTTTGCTTGCAAACGTTTTTAGATTTAACTTTCAGTGTTGCCTGTATTTTCTCAGAGCTTATCACTCAGAGATAACAAAAGCTACTTTAAAACTCATTACAGAAATAGAAATAGAAGGCCTACTATGCACCTGGCCTCGTAACAGCTTACCAGACCGCGACACACAGACGTAAAACTCAGTGTCCTTAATTCTGTAATAGACATTCGTATTGTTTTTTAATTAAGCTTTTTATTGGGGGGGGGGAATTAGGTTTATTCATTCATTTTATTTATTTATTTTTAAATTTTTTAATGCAGGTACTGGGGATTGAACCCAGGACCTCGTGCATGCTAAGCAGGTGCTCTACCACTGAGCTCTACCCTCTCCCTATGATGGGCATTCTTATAGAATCAAATGGAAACTTCCCACCTTGGCTGCTAAGGCCTTTCCTGATTTGACTTTGCCTGGTTTTCATTGCTCTGTCTTCCATGCCTTTGCCCTGGAACCATGCGAAACCATTTTACAATTCTCCAAACATTCTAACCTTTCCCATGCTTTTATGCCTTTGCAAACACTAATCTGCCTACTAGTAATGTGCTTTCCCCCTTGGAGCACTTCATGAAGTTCTAGTCATCCTTCAGGCATTAACTCAAGTATCACCTCCTCTTTTAATTACTTCCCAGCCCCTGGTTAAGGAAAAGTTAGTTACTCCTTTGTCCTTGAATCCAGCGCACCCTGAACACAGTTACATAAAGTGACTGGTAATTATTGATTCCAGTTTCTGTCTAGAGTGAGCTTGTGCAGAACGAGGGGTGGGAATTTATCATCTTTACAGTCTCACTGACGGTCCCTCATGCCCCGAGCGTGGCAGGCAATAATGACACTGTTGAGGGCACTGAGGGATGAGTGGCTTTCTCTTTCTGGTTGTCGGGGAAGACTTCCCAGAACAGGTGACACTTGGCTTTGACCAGAAATGTCTCAGGAATTCCAAGTAAAGCAGACAGCACGCACAGAAGCAGGTGACTGGGGGTGGAGGCAGGTGAGGCTTGTAAAGTGGGTTGTGACAAAATGGAAGGACCCTCTGTGACACGCTCCAGAGTTTGGCAGCAGCATCGTGGGCACGTTGACAAGCGAGACGGAGAGCAGTGGGGACACCGCTCTCATAGTCTGGGTAGGAGTCGGTCACAGCCTAGATTAATATTTTAGCCACGGTCGGGGGAAGGGAGGGTACAGCTCAGTGGTGGAGCGCGTGCTTAGCAGGCACGAGGTCCTGGGTTCAAAGCCCTGCACCTCTGTTAAAATAACTTACTAAATAAATAAACCTAATTACCTCCCCTCTCTCAAAACAAAAAACAAAAACACAAAGATACTAGCCATAGGGATAGAAAAAATTACATTAGAGAAATATTTAGGAGGTAGACCTGCAACTTGACTTGATACGGGGCTCTGTAACAGAGGGAGGGCTTTAAGCACTGAGTCATAGGATGAGATTCATACTAGAGAGGAATCACTGGCCACTGTTGTGTGAAGAGCAGATGGGACTGAGGTACAGGCAGAGGAGGGAGGCCAACAGAACAGAACTATTGCCGACCCAATCTCACTACACCGTGTGCCCCATGGACTTGGGGGTCTGGCCCCGTGGGTCAACTTTCACTTACGACATTGCTTCCCTGGGAAAAGTGATCTGAGTCCTAACCTGACTTTCAAACATGTTTTTGGAACATAGCCCACATGTAGTTCGGGACTGGCTGCTCTGAGGGCTGTGGTCGGGGGAGCCAGGGTTTGGAGCAACCCCAGTGCCAGCCTTAGTTAATGTCACAATAAGGATAAACAAGCGCCATTGTGCCTCTGGAGAAATTACCACTTTGCTGCATCCAATAAAATTTGTACTTTTCCACTTCTATTAAGTGATTACTACCAATTTGCTAGTTAGTAGGAGCAGAGATCAACTTTCACAATGCTTTCTTTGCCTGACAGTTAAGTCCAGAAGCTGTCCATTTCTAGTAAACGATGAAAAATACATGGTGATGGGAAATCACAGCATTTGTACTGTGAAAACAAATAGATGATGATATGGAAAATGAAAATCAGATGTAAGTAGGTAAAAATATAGGTAACATCTTAAAAGAAATGCCTTCCAGTGCCACTAGGTTAAAAAAAAAAGGATATTTGTCATCCCTGCACAGAACAGTATCGGAAGAAGGAACTATAATTATATACAATGTTTACAGGTAAACGCTTCAGTGTTCTCTGGAAGGTGACCTTGGTGTGACCGGGAGGTAATTTACATCTGGGGGCTTTCACAGACCGCAGAAGGACCGCCGGTCCCTCTACATTTATCCACCCACCAGGAATGCTGGAAATGAGCGCGTGCTCTGGCTGGAAATATGATGACTGGGTTCCCAAAGATGACTGCTAGAATCCAGAACATCTCCTGAGTCTTTCAGCTCTTTATTGTCAAAGCTTATCTTTTAAGGCTACAGAGCTTACAGCCAGGAAACACAAGAAAGGTCACCTCCAGAAGCTGAGGTTGAGAACTGAGCAGTCCAAATGCGGTTTTAAACAAAAGGTAAAGTCGACACTGGAGAGAAAGCCGTGCCCAAGTGGCAGGAACAGATCCCGGGACCCCGGAGGTCACGTCAGGCCCAGTCCTACTGGGCTTTGGGTCAGGGCGCTGGGCAAGTTCAGGCGTGGGTGTCTGGCCCCAGAGGAGGCAGCAATTGAAGAAAGTCCAGGAGGGAGAAGTGGCCTTCTGATGGGGGCTGGGTGTGGAAAGCGGTCTAATAACTGACCACTGGAGTCGGGCTTCATCGCCCTGAAGAGACAGAGCTGGCAGCCTTTGGACACCAGGGCCTGGGGGCATTAAGTCAGAGAAGCCGTATTGAAAGAGATGAACTCAAAGCACAGCAGAATTCAGCTCACAGGGTGACAGTTATGAACTTTGAAAAAAAATTGGGGGTGGGAGGTAATTAGATTTATTTATTTATTTATTTATCTTTAAATGGAGGCACTAGGGATTGAACCCAGAACCTCGTGCATACTAAGCACACGCTCTACCACTGAGCTATACCCTCCCCCTCACATGGGATGAGATTAACCTGAACTGATGACCCAAAGTCCTGAATCCCCACATTCCTCAAATCCAAGCCTGAAAATACCCACCATCCAATTAGGAGCTAGAGCTCCCTACTTTCTTCCTTTTGTTCTTTAAATTTTATTTTATTTTTAATATTTAAAAGAATTTTTTTTTTGGTTTGATTTGGGGGGTGTGTTTGGATAATTAGCTTTATTTACTCATTCACCTTTAGTAGAGGTACTGAGGATTGAACCCAGGACCTCACGCGTGCTAAGCTAGCACTCTACCACTGGGCTATACACCCACCCTCCTACGTCCTTGAGGATAATGCAGAGGTCTCTACCCTGAAGACAACGTGTATTGTTCCCTCTTCCCCATCCCTCCTCCCCAAGATCCGTACCCACCTGACTTCTGGCTTCAAGGATAATAACTAGGTTAAGTCACAGTTTAAGATGAAGTCATGCTGCTGAGGAAAGAAGGGAACCCTTACAAAGAAGCTGCAGGTCCTAGCCAGGAGCCAGGAAACAAGGCTTGAGATTGGAATAAGGAGACCGAAGCATAAGGATGGGTAAAGAAGAGTTTTGAGTTTACCAACGTGAAGCAAAATATAGGATTTAACACCCCGGAAAAGATCTCAGGAGGTGCTGCAGATCTGTTACTAGTTTGGCTCCTACTAGGAGAGCTCCTAGGTACGTGGAGAAAAATAATCCCACACTGAGAGAGGTACACATGCCAAGGAGAGGAAGGAGGGACTTAAAGGCTCCTACCCCCCACAATAGAGGCCAGATGGAAGTGCTTAGCTGTGAAAAGACGGGTGGATGCAATTACTGTCATGAGTGATAAAACTGGAGGGACAGCCAAGGACTCCTGACCCACTGAGAATTGTGGAGTTAGTTAATGGAACACAGCCTCCCTAGGGGCAAAATAAATGGGTAGCCAACAAGGGTACTGCTCACTCTGTTTAATCAAAAGAAGTCAAGGATGGAAATGAAAACATACGTCCACATAAAAACCTGCACCCTAACATTGATAGTAATACTATTCAAATGTTCATCAACTGGCAAATGGATAAACAAAATGTGGAATATTCATGCAATGGAATATTATTTGGCCATAAAAAGGGAACAAAGGATGGATACATGCTACAACGTGGGTGAATCCTGAAAACACTTGGTTAAGTGAAAGAAGCCAGTCACAAAAGACCACATGTTTTATGATTTAGTTTACATGAAATGTCCAGAACAGGCAAATCTATAGATACAGAAAGTAGATTAGTGATTGCTCAGGGCTGGGGAGGGTTGGGGAGATAAGGAGGTGATCCCTAAAGGGCACGGCACAGGGTTTCTTTTTGAGGTGATGAAAATGCTCTAAAATTAACCTTGGAGATGATTGCACACATCTGCGAACACACTTAACACCTGAGTTCTACGTTTTAAAGCAGTGAATTGTATCATAGGTGGATGGTATCTCAATAAAGCTATTAAAAAAAAAAAAGAAAGAAACCAAGGATGGATAAACAGGAGGTTGAAAGTAATTAGCTCAATAAAAAGTCACAATCCTTTGCCAGACTTCTGAACCTGAACTGGTTTTCCAGCTTAGAATGTACTAAGTCAAAAAGAGGGCAGGTCCCTAAGAGAGAGGGCCCTGAAATACCACGGAACGTGGAAAGATCCCCCCGGCCCAAGAAACCGGTGGGTCCACAATAGCTGCACACCCGGCAAAGGGCATAACCAGGTATTTCTAGAGCCACTGGATATTGGATCTGGTTTGAAATTGATGCTCAGGGACTCGGAGCGAAAGCACAGATCCCCTTGCAGAGCGAGGCAGGTGGGGATAAGGCTGGAAGAGGAGCTCACAGTGGGTGCACTGGCCCTGCAGGCGCTGCCTATGCCTATGTGCCTCTCCCTAGTCCCCAGCTGTGCCCCTGGGTCAGACACACTTGGCCGAAACCTACCTCGGTCCTCGGCCTGGGAGGTAAGAACAACCATGGTGGGGAAGGCCTAGTAGAAGTCCCTAAAACTGCGCTCCCTTCGCTCCCAGCCAAGACACTAGGTCCAAAATAGTATCTCACTCACAGGAAAGTGGCATAAATTTGGGAACACTCCAAGTCAGATTGCGATGAGCCCTATGGAGAATAAAGCAGGGAAGAAGGTTGTGATTTAAAATACCGTAGTCTGTCGCAGACGCAGTAAACAAACTTACTGTTACCAGTGGGAGAAGCGGGTAGGAAGGGGTAAACTGAGAGTTTGAGAATTGCAAATATTAGCTACTATATATAAAATAGATTAAAAACACAGATTTCTTCTCTACAGCACAGGGAACTATATTCAATAACTTGTAGTAACCTACAATGAAAAAGTAAATGAAAACGACCATATGCTGTACACCAGAAATTGACACATTCTAACTGATTATACTTCAATAAGCAAAGAATAATAATGATAAAATAAACACCGCAGTCTGGAAAGAACTCAGTGAGAAGATGACATTCGAGCAGAGTCTTGCAGAATGCGAGGGCTTGGTGTGAAAGAAAGAAATGGACACCAAGGTTCCGAGTTTGAGCATCCGGGAGACGGGCACCGTCATTTACTGAGTTGTAGTGGAGAGAGGATGGGGCTGCGGAGAGCAGCTGGGTGTACAAATCTGGAGTTCCAGAAGGTGTTCTGGGCTGAGGATAGGAAAATAGGAGACATAGGCATATCCTGGTACATGGAGTTTAAAGCCATGAGACTGAATGTTATCAACAAGAGACTGAGTGTACATTACACAATTTTCTTTGGGATAAAAGCAAGGAAATCAAGAAAGAGAAGCCAATGAGGAAGGAGGAAAATTTGAAACCTTGTAGTGTCTGAAAACAAAATCGAGAAGGCCTTTAATTTAAGGAGTTGAGTCTGATAAATTGCGTCAAACTATGCTCTTGAATCAGTGAAGATGAGGAGTGGGACGTGTCCTCTTAGGTTTAGCAGCGCGGAAGCCACTGGTAAACTTCACAAAAGCAGTTTTGAAGTCAAAAGCATGACTGGAATGGATTCAAGAAAGAATGGAATGATATCACTCTTATGTGGAATCTAAAAAAGAGAAAAGAAGACACTAATGAACTTTTCTATAAAACAGAAACAGACTCACAGACACAGTAGATCAATCTGACGGTTACCAGTGAGAAAGGGGGTGGGAAGGGATAAATTGAGAGTTTGAGATTTGCAGATACTAACTACTATACATAAAATAGATAAACATACTATATAGCATAGGGAACTATATTCAATATTCAATATCTTGTAGCAACCTCTAATGACAAGAATATGAAAATGAACATATGCATGTATATGTATGACTGAAACTATATACTGTACACCAGAAATTGACACAACATTGTAAACTGACTATACTACAATAAATATTTTTTAAAAAAAAAGAATGGAAAGAGCACAGGAAACTCTTTAAGAAGTTTGGTTTTTAAAGAGAAATGGGGCTGTAAGCAGGAGAGAAGTGGGTCAGCAGAGTTTTTTATAGTGCCAGAAATAATGTGTCTATGATGAGAATGGTCCTGTAAAGAGAGAGGAATTGCTGACATAGAAGAGAAAGAGGAAGACTAACAGAACGATGCTCTGGAATGGTTGCAGGGACAGGATCCAGTATCCAAGTGGAAATGGTGGTCTGAGACAGGAGTGAGGTCAGTTCATGCAGAAAAACACAAGGGCAGACAGAGCAGATGGGTACAAATGCAAGCATGTGTGTAGTTACAACGGGAGAATGTGAAAATTCTGAGCGCTGACTTGCTCAGTGAGAGAGGAAGAAATGCTATCAGCTGAGAGCTTACAGGTGTCTGGGCTTTATCCTCTGTGGGGACAGGGAATCCCTGAAGTACCCTGAGCCGGGGTATAATGAGATCAGACATGGCTCTGGTGATTCATGACCCTTGGGAAGTAGAGGCGGTGAGACAGGTGGAACAGACAAGGAATGACGGAGTGACTGGACAGCGGCAGTGGAAGGAAAGGAGGTGGTGGAGAGACGAAGGAGGTAACACTAACAGACACGGTCAGGTTTCCTAATACAGCCCCCCCTCCCCCCCAGCATCTCCTTACCCTGTTTACTTTCATACAGTGCTTCTTATTACCCGAGGGTATCACCTAGTCTTGTCTGTAGGCTGGCCATGTCCTTCACTAGAATGAGAAGGAATGTGAGTCGTGTTAGGGCAAAGACTTTGTCTTATTCGGTTTGGGTCTCTGTTCTGGCCACAAGAAACAGTGACTGGCACTAACTGAGTGGAATGAGGTATTGGACATGAGGGACAAGGGACAGGAAAGGATTTAGGATAAGTTCAGGGTTCTGGCTTGGGTCACTGGGAAAACGATGGTGTGAAAACACTTTGATAAATTCTGGAAGTCCAATAGACCCTGAAATTACAAGTAACTAAACGCCAAGCAACCCGAGGCCCTGCAGCTTTGATGTGTACAGGCAGCCGTGCTCTCCCAGAGAAATTTCAATTCTCCTGCTTGCCTGTAACTGTGATAATATTAAGCAGCATCACCTACTGATAAAGCCTAACGTAAAGAGGAGTGCTAACTATATCCTAGGCACTGTTCTAATTAATTTACATGCTCAGTTACACTCGTTTAATCCTTTTTTTAAAATGAAGTAGGTAGAAGTTTTATTTTTTTCACTTTGCAAATGAGAAAATAGAGGACCAAAGGTTGAATGGCAGAGACGAGATTTAAACCCAGACAATCTGGTTCAAGAACCCATGCTCTTCATCTCAATGCTGTACTTACTGCCGCTTCGGACTGCTGCTCAATGACTCCCAAATCTCTATCTTTAAAGAAGATGCATTAACTTTTGTTAACAAATTACCTCAAAAAGATGGCCAAAAATAATAGATATTTATTGTCTCATAGTTTCTATGCATCAGGAGTCTGAGAGTAGCTTAGCTGGGCAGCGCTGCTTCAGGGTCTCTCATGGAGCTGCAGTCGAGATGGTATCAGGGCTACATTCATCTGAAGGCTTGACTGGGGCTGGAAGACTGGCTTCTAAGGTGGCTCCATATAACTGCCTGAATCCTCACAGCATGGCAGATGGCTTTCCCCAAACTGAGTGATTCAAGAAGAAGCAAGGCAAAGACCACAACATCTTTGGACACCTGGCCTCAGAAGACATACACCATCATTTCTGCTGTATCTTACTAGTTACATAGGTCAGTGTGGGAGGGAACTGCATAAGGGCATGAATACTGGAGGTGAGCGTTGCTGGGGGCCATCTAGGGGGCTGGCCACTGCACCCACTGTTGGCCCGAAGCCCGTACCTATTTGAATTTCCACAGATAGAGCACACACACCTTCAACTACATGTTTTTTAAAACTTGTTTCTTCTTCTGCATTCACTTACCTACTTCCAGTCATCATATCTAGGAATCTGTCAACCACCCTATCTCCAAACTTTTCTCTCTTCTCCTCTCCCAAGTCTATTTCAAATCACTTGCTACATTTCATCGAGTCTGTAATTTATGTGTGTCATGTAATTTGAGTGATATTCTGAAGTTCATAATGCGCTATGGACCGAATTGTGTCCTCTCCCAAATTCATATGTTGAAGCGCCAGCCCATCGATGTGTCAGTATTTAGAGACAGGCAGTACAAGGAAGTAATTCAGGTTAAACGAGGTTCTAAAGGTGAGTCCTCATCCAATATGACTAGTAACCTTACGAGGCATCAGAGAGCTTGCTCTTTCCATCACGTGAGGACACAGCAAAAAGACAGCTGTCTGCATGCCCGGAACAGAGTTCTCACCAGAAACCGACCATGTTGGCATTTGATCTCAAATTTCTAGCCTCCAGAACTTGTGAGCAAATTAATTTCTGTTGTTTAAGCCATCTCTACTCTATGGCATTTTGTCACGGCAGCCTGAGCAGACCGGTACAGTGAAAAACAGAAAAATCCAGTCTGTGGTTGTTAATGTGATATTTTTATTCTTAGGTACCAGCCAGTCTAGTCATACCTCCGTTCAGGCCCATCCTATGACACTTTCTCTGAACTTCCCAGTAGGAGAGTGTCCTCTGAATTCACGTGGTTCTTGGTTAGTATTTCTCTTGTGGCGCACCCAGTTCTAACAGTTTTTGTGTGCAGGTGAGTTATCTCTAAGTCACAATGTCTTTAAGGGAAAGGAATATTTTTATGTCTAGTTTTATCCTTAATACTGCTGCTGAAAGGAAGAAGCCACCAAAACAAAAAGCTGAATTTATGGCTTGCTAAGCAAGAGAGAGCTGTCTAAACAGAGCAGAAAACTAGAGTTAATTTTTTTTTGCTTTATTGTGGCCTGATTGACAAGTAAAAATTGTACAAATTTAAGGTGCACAACCTGATGTTTTGATAAACACATACACTGTGAAAGCATCGGCACAGGCAAGTAATTGACACAACCATCATCTCATACAGTTATGATTTCAAAATTCTTAAGAGCTAATCTTTTTTTATTTTAGTAAGTTTTTAAAAAAATTTGGGGGGATAATTAGGTTTATTTATTTATTTGTTTTAATGGAGGTACTGGGGATTGGACTCAAGATCTCTGGGTCATGCAGTCTTCACTGAGCTAATACACCCCTAGAGCTAATCTTACGTAAAGGTTTGGGAAGTGTGAACCTCCGGGACTGGCAGACTTCCAGGAATGAAATGTATAGGGAGCAGCTGACCTTTGGCTGTGAAAGTGTGGTTACTGGAAGGAGATGACAGCTGGGTGCTGGCTTTCAGGAATGTGGATGCTGACGCTGGCACTGGTGAGCCGGGATGAGCTTAAAGCAGGTCTGGCAATCACTCGTGCTATGACCAGAGAATACTGGGCCTTCCCTTGAAGGCTTTTGGTCTCAGCACCTAACATGGTGTCTTATTCAGTTGGTATTTGTTGAGTGAACTGAGTGAATTAATGAAATTGTTTTTTCTCACATTTATTATGCTCGGAAAGTCCATAAAAATAATACTTTATAAAGGCAAAAATAAAAAGTTCAAAGCCACCTGAATGTCCAAGAATAAGGTAAGGAACCTATGATTCACTCAGCCACTAGATGACCATGTGTCCTCTGAAAGGGATGGTTGTTAAGACCTCCCACAACTTGGAATCACGTTTTTGATATAATAGTAAGCAGAAGAAAATGATACAAACACACATAAGAAAGCAAAAGCCACGCAAATAAAAAATTCAGAAAACACACCAGAATGATAATACTGATTGTGGTTTACAGAGGTGAAGTTATGGTGATTTTTTCCCTTTTTTCTACTTTCTAAGTGTTCTTAATTATGTCAGTATTGCTAATTATAATTATTTTTAAACATTTTTAAAGCTATATGTGCTATTTTCTCCTTACTCGTGGCACTTAAACACAGAACCGTAGGATTGGAAAGGACTTTACACTTCTGCTAACTCTGCTAACAACGCTGGTTTCATCACTAACATGCAAGATACCTCCCCAAGTCGCTGATACAGGAAAAGAGGAAGCAGATCTAGACAGAAAAGAAAGATGAAAGAAAAAAATCTGCCTGGTATAAATTCATAAACTCAGCTTCTGCTGAGTCTGCTAGGGAAGACAAGAAATAGGCATTTGCCGTGAGAATTCAACTCATATTTCAGATCTACTCAAATCTGATATTTTTCTCACTATCCTTCCTCATGTTCCGTATTCACCGCACTCAGACCTGAACTGGTTCCCAAGCCAGGACTGATGCAGGCTGGGCATAAACTAAGAAGGTCCTCCCCTTGCCTCTACCTCCCCGACCTATTACTCCATAGGGCAAGCACATCTGCAGGATCACATTATCATCGGAGTTTCCTGTCTTGCCCTGCTCCTTTCTCCACAGCTTGGATCCTACATCCTGACCAAACCCTGGATGCTCATCCATCCTGGAGACCGGCTCTCTTCCCCAACCCCGTGGTACCCAACTCTGAGTGTGACCAGGAGTCAGAGGGACACCTTGACTTTTAGCTATGATTACAGCCACAATCTGGTGCCAATCAGAAGTGAGTATAAAAGTATTTTTAATATACATACACACATGCATAAATACACACACACATATATAATGATTGCCATGTCCATGATTGGAAGTTATATATATATATATATATATATATATATATATATATATACACACAACATTTTTACATATAATTTATAAAATCATATGTGTATACTATTTTATTTAATATAGGAAAAACTACTACTTTAAAAATGCCAGTTAGTAGGCAAAATTTATTTAAAAAACGAGGACCATAAGAGAGGCATTGGGAAATGAATCCCTTTGGTGGCAAAGAATTTAGAATATACTGATGTTCAACACAGAATATTAGACTTACATCCTTTTGGAAACCAGATGGGAAATTAATAAATACAGGAGATACTGGCATCCAAAAACAGACCTCCAAAATGGACCCCAATAGGGAACCAAAATGTCATAGGAAAAATGTTTGATTGCATTTTATTTTGAAAAACAAAATGAACTTATAAAAATAAGTGTATTTTATCTTATGTTTTCCGATTCCACAAAGTCAAGAATTTACTATGTTATAGGCATCACTTTCTGATATCCTTCATCAGCATGTTTGACTTCTAAAGAATGATCACAGGTTTGTTTTTATAAAAATGTGAATGGGCTTTACCAAATTTTCCCAAAGATCTTTATTAAATCTTTCGCTTCTTTTTTGAGGCACTTACCTTGTCACCATCCTTGTTGGCTAAATCTTGTTTGGCAAAGGCTTGGCGATCTCCAACATTACTTTCATCAACGTCATGTAATCCTGTATATGTGAGAAGATTTGCAGTTTCACTTAGAGATCAACTTGCAGTGACAATGACTGGCTGATGCAGATGCAGGTCCTCCGAGGAGGAGAGTTCATCAGATTATAATTTCATGCTATGCTTTTAAAGGCAGAGATTTGATATTGACTGCCCTGAGGACCTGGATCTTCCTAGAGCCAGGATTTAGTAAACTCTCTCATTTTATTTTAATTTTTGTGGGGGAAGATGTAATTAGGTTTTTATTTATTTTTTTAATGGAGGTGCTGGGATTGAATGCAGGACCTTGTACATTGCTAGGCACACACTCTACCACTGAGCTATACCTTCCCCCCAAAAGCTCTGATTTTGTAACTAAGTCTCAGAGAGTGGAAGGAATAATCCCAGATCACAGTACAAATTAGGAGCAGCTCAAGGCTAAATTCCAGATCTTCACTATGTCCCGTATAATCAACTGGGAAAAAAAAGGAGGGGGGGCGGCGAGGAGTTGATATTGACAAGGCTCACTCTCACAACTCCCCCACCTGGAGGATCTCTCAGAAGCCAAATAACTCCTCCCCAAACCCGCTCAGTCATCCTCCTCCTGCAAGGCTACGGCCAGTCAGAGAGCACCTGAAGCTTGCACAGAGCAACCTAACATTAAATCATCGTTCACTGGGTTTAAACAAGGACGACAGCATGGTTATTAGCTAATCCTGCAAACTTGTGTTTCAAAAGCAATGTTGAGGGGCAAATCATTGAAATAAAAGCATAGCCAACTCACATATCACCTAACAGAAAACAAAGGAGTGGAGTAACCCCTCTAACTCGTTCAAGGCTTCTAATCCCCCAAGCCAGCCTGCAAGCCTGAGCCTGAAGCCTCTGCCCTGCCCAGCTCCACCTTATTTGGCTTGGTCTCCAGAACATCTTTAGGGAAGGGCTGGTCTTGTGCAAGTCTGATAACACTTTTCACTGCCTCCTGGCTTTCTAGATCCCAGCAGCCAGGCACGTGGAGTTGAGGTAGAAAGCAAGTTTACAAAGAGGCAGTTGAGTAATGGAGGTATAAACGTTTATTTTTTTTTCTAACCAAATAATACAATTTTCCTTGAACCAAGCCTGATTCATAGAGGAGTTATTACAACCCAACTGAATGCCACTTGTGGAGAAAGAACTAACAAATTCTTCTAGCTTCTGAGTACTCAGGATGACCTGACCTGAAAAATCCCAAATCGTTTTTTCGACTCCAGAAGAATTCTGATCCTCAAATGAAGCTGTTAATGCCTATTGATTGATCTGTCTAAGAACTTAACTTGGAAGTGAAATTTTACCTTGCATCGATGGGATCTCTACTCAGAGGAATCTTTCTAAAATCCAAGTCAGATCATGGCACTCTCTTGCTTAAAATAGTTCAATGGTTTCCCTTTGCTTCAAGATAAAGATCTATAGTCACTAAAATTTCTTAGTCTGGGAGTTGTTTCATGATCTGGCCCTGCAATTTCACCTTTCCAGTCGGCTTCCCCCTGTCTTTGCTTTCATCTCATCTCTGATCTAACTGCATTCTCCCTCCACAGCTCCTTCTGCCCAGCCAGCACCTTGTGATTTCTTTCTTTCTTTCTTTTTTTCCCCCCACTGTCAGAAGGCGCCCCTGACATGCTGAAACTGGATTAGGGGCCTCCCGGCGCGCCCGGAGCACCCAGCATTTGTGCTATCACAGCGCTCCCCACTGCACGTTCCCGTGCCGGCCATCTCCACTGGTCAACAAGTTTCTGGAGAGTTAGTTTACACTATATCCCTAGTGCCTGAAAACCAGTAGCTATGCATTCAGTCACACTGAATGTGATAAGAAATTAGAGCTGAAGAGACTTTACCAGTGCTATGCAGGTAGGTATTTCAGACATCTTTCCTTTAGCCTTCAAACAGCTCTGAAATGTAAGGATCATTAACCCTATTTTGTGGATGAGGAAATTGAGTCTCGAGGGTGCGGTCACTTGAGCGAGGTCCACATGCATCCGTAGGAGCACAAAACCAGTCCTCTGGAGCTCGCTTCCAAAGCAGAGACCCTGCCTCCTGACTGCCTGCGGGGCTGCTGGCGCCGCCGCGGGGCCAGCCCAAAGCGCGATCCCAGATCCCGCCGCTGGTGCGGGCGGGTGTTAGAGCGCCGGCCGCCCCAGCCCAG